ATCTATCTATCTATCTATCTATCTATCTATCTATCTATCTATCTATCTATCTATCTCTATCTAATTTTCTCTCTCTCTCAACATTTGTGAACATACAGGTGTACATACACACATTTATAAATATATTTAAGTAAATATATTGCATAGCTCAAACAGGTTAGATTGATTAATTGATCTTCAATTTTCATAGGGATGGGACAACCTTTTTCTAATTACACTATATTCTCTATTACATATTTTATTTTTGTTTGTTAGATGTATCGTATCTGCCTGAATATGAAATTAAATAATTTCATGCCATCTTTCAGAACAAATCTTTCCCAGAGCTCAGCTGACAGCTATTCAAAACTACCTCAGTCAGAGTTGACACTCAGACTGAATGCTGCTTTTGTCCTTTCTAAAGTCTTCCCCCAGATATCAACTTATTATGTATTTTATTTAGATGCTTACAATATTTATGCACAAGAATTTTCTCAAGGTGATTGTAAAATAAAATCAAGAAAAAATTGACAGCACAAGGTTGTCAATAGTCTTCTTATGTACAGTTGATATAGGAGTTGGAATATACTGTACCGGTAGTCCTTGGTTTACAACTATTCATTTTGTAACTGTTTGAAGTTACAACGAAAAACATTATTTATGACCAGTCCTCACATTTAAAGCTGTCACAACATCCCCACAGTCATATTAACAAAATTCAAGCACTTGGCAACTGGAATACATTTACACCACCTGCAGCATCCTGAAGTCCTTTGATCACCATTTGTGACTTTGCTAGCCAGCTTCCAATTAGTAAAGTCAATGGGGGAAGTTGGACGTTTAATGACTGTGCGATTCAATTAACTGCAGTGATTTGTTTAACAGCTGCATAAGACAGGGTGCAACTCACTAAACAACCATTTCACTTCGCAATGCAAATTCTGCTCCCGATTGCGTCTGTAAATCGAGGACTACCCCCACCTATTGCCTAAATTTACCATTTCCTTCCTCCCTAGGCTTAATCTTTGTATTTTCCCAGCACACTTTTTAGATTCACCTATATTTGAGCTGCATAAATCAAAATGACCTCCTTTCTTCACCATCATCAATTTTGAAATTCACTAAAGTACAGAGGATGAAATTGTCCCGCTTCTGTTCTCTTTCTCTTTTTGTAAGAGAAAGTCTTCTAAGCCGTTAAGCCTTCTCTACTTTCACTCAGCAAAGTGATTATGTCTGCACATTTCAGACTGGAAGCAATATGATTTCAGCGGTCATCTCTTCCAATCCTTCCTTAATCTTGCCATAATAGATTCGCTGTGGATGTTAAACAGAGAAAAATGTCTCTGTTTAACGATTTATGTTTAATAAGTCTGTTTAATGATGGAAACTAATCAAGGAGAGAAGCAACCTAGAACTAAGGGGAAATTTCCTGACAGTGAGAACAATCAACCAGTGGAACGCCTTGCCTTCAGAAGTT